CCTAACCAAATTGTACACTTTAAGTCAATTTCTTGGTTTTGATAATTCTGTGGTTATGTAGATGTTAATGTTAGGGGAAGCTGGGTGAGGGGGACGTGGGAACTCTGAACTATCATTGCAACTTTTCCATAAGTAAAATGAATTCAAAATAAAAAGTTAAAAATATATGCAATTACACTTTTTATTTATTTAAAAAAATTTTTTTAATGTTTTATTTATTTTTGACAGAGAGAGAGAGAGACAGAGCATGAGCGGGGGAGGGTCAGAGAGAGAGGGAGACACAGAATCCGAAGCAGGCTCCAGGCTCTGAGCCATCAGCACAGAGCCCGACGCGGGGCTCGAACTCACAGACTGAGAGATCATGACCTGAGCCGAAGTCGGACGCTCAACCGACTGAGCCACCTAGGCGCCCCGCGATAACACTTTTTAAAAAAAGATGAATTGGCCTTATAGAATAAGTACTTTTTTTCCCAAGTATATTTGTTGGCTGTGATATTACTGACAGTCACCGTCAGCATAGAGTAGGTCAGCGATTTTGGAACGCTTGCCTTTTTGTAAGAGAAACCTATGTAACAACTTTAAATCAGGCAGTTCTTTGAAGTACTTTTCCCTTGAAATACCAAGGAACTTCTATGTGTCCCTAAAGTCACGTATGCTAAGAAGGGACATCCAGCCATAATGGAGTGAAGGGTTCTCTGGCCACCATGGAAAGCTTCCTTCCATGGAAGGGGAAATGCCACAGGAATTAAAACCCCCCCCCCCCCCCCACCGGGAGCTGCCTTCAGATTTGACCGATGGAATTGGAATATAAGCACCCAGCTCCCTCACCCCTTGTGGGATCTAACTCTGAGGTGTAGGTTTTTATTCTGGCTGTCAGAGTTTTCCCAGCACAATTCATCTCCAGCTGCCCACAGTGGTAACCTGTTGGCAATGCACATTTTATTGGCTAGCACCTCTTCCACCAACTGGTGTTTTCTTCACCTCCCAAATAAACTACTTACACTGAAATCCTTGCCTCAAGATGTGCTTCTGACCCAGACCAGAACAACGCAGAAATATTTTTTCTGGCATCACACTGTGTCACCCTCCCACACCGCTGGTTTGGGCATCTCAGTTTGAGATTACTGCTTTCCTTCACAACAATAACTCTCTGCCTGGCTTCTTACACACCTCCAAGACAGTCCCTTCCAGCGCAGGCAGGCATGCTTGTAAAGAGTCCTATGGATGTTGAGCTGAAATCCGGCTCCTGTGACCTTTGACTTTTTTGCCTGGGCGGGGCCGTAAGAGACCAGGAACGCTGAGGTTTGTTGACTGGGTTCTGCTGAGGCCTCCGGGGACCACTGGGGAAGGAAGGCTGGAGGGCTCCATGAGGGCTGGGCTCTTAGCCCTGCCCTGTTTGAACCAAAGTACAAACTCTGTTTGTTATACGTTGGACTAAAGGCTTTGGAGAAAAGAGTTCCACATCAGGGAAGAGGTTTGCCTAGTTCAGTCTCTTGCAGTCGTCCACGAAAGACTGGGGTGAGTACTCTGGCACCTAAACCTTATAAAAGTCGTATCAGCGTCCAGCATCCCCCTGGTTGCCTGGGAGGCTAGCAGTGTCTTCCAGTCCAATATGAGGTCCTGCCAGGTTGTGAGCAACCCTGAGCAGGGCAAGAGCTGCCTTTCATAGGCCATGTCACCAGACCTATGCCTCTGGCACAACCTTGCGACCTGGACCACAGATAACATAACAACGAGCGAGCATCTCACATAGGCAGGCCTGTTGCAACTAGGTAGCTGGTCATCTAATACGTCAGCACGATCAAGAACAGCTAGCTTTTAAAAGAGGAAACTGAGGTTCAGAGAAGGAACAAGCTTACCTAGGTTGCACAGCACTTTTGCTTTAGCTAACATAGTTAATAGGATGAGACTTTTCTTGGCTGTGTCAGTTCCTCATCAATACCGGAGAGTGATGGTTTTGGCCATCATGAACCCTATGCAGTGCCTCGTACTGTGAGCCCACAGTGACCCCAGGCATAGCAGCCAGGCCAGGTGAGAGGCGGCTCTGGGAAGCCCCTTCTGTTCAGAGCTCACATCCTGAATCCTTGTAATCGTGGGCTCCTCGCTGCCTACCTTGAGCTTGAGCAAGCTGGGTCCTGCTGTTGGCCCTGCTGTGGTCCCTTGGCCCTAAAGAGAGTTTCACCTTCTCTAACTTGACCCTCAGAACCCCATCCAGGAGCCCACCAGGAGCCCACCCAGAGTTGCCTCGTTAGGGCAAAAGACCCTCCTCTCACCCAGGAAATTCCAAGGGAATTATGAGCTCAGAGTCAGGAATCAGGATCAAAGGCCAGATATTAGAATAAACGATGTTCCTGGTGCTTTTATCGCTTAGGAAATTACAAGGATTTTTAGGAACCCTGTGCCAAGAACTGGGGACAGAGACCAATATATTTTTTTCCTATTACCTCACAGCGCCCCATTACGAAAATCATTCCCTAGGTCTGCTCCCTAGGGAACCCCATGGGGAGGAGAGGTGATGGACAGGGCAGGATTCAGCTATTTCTGGGTCCCTTGGGTCAACAATCTTCACCCTATCTGACTTCAGCAGTTCAAGCTGCTATGACAGCCTACCATAGCATGGGTGGCTTAAGCAGCAAGCATTTATTACTCATCGTTCTGGAGGCCGACAAATCAAAGATCAAGGTGCTGGCGGATCGGGTATCTGCTAAGAGCCCTCCTCCTGGTTTACAGATGGACATCTTGTATCCTCAGATGGTGGCGATCAGAAGGAGGGCTAGATCTCTGAGTCTCTTTTTTTTTTTTTAACATTTTTTTAAATTTTTGAGACAGAGAGAGACAGAGCATGAATGGGGGAGGGGCAGAGAGAGAGGGAGACACAGAATCGGAAGCAGGCTCCTGGCTCCGAGCCATCAGCCCAGAGCCCGATGCGGGGTTCGAACTCATGGACCGCGACATTGTGACCTGAGCTGAAGTGGGACGCCCAACCCAGGGCCCAACCCAGGACTGAGCCACCCAGGCGCCCCTCTGAGTCTCTTCTTATAAGGACACTAATCCCATCCTGGGGTTTCCACCCTCATGATCCAATTACTTTCAAAAGGCCCCGGCCTCCCAATACCATCACATCAGGGCTTCAACATGCAAATTTTGGGGGTGGGGGACACATTCAACCCCTAGCACCATCAAAATACCCCTTCCTATACCTCAACAAAACCGATTTTCTCAACACAGCTTGTCAGAGCAGTTACTGGCATTAATTAGTCATGCCAGACGAAACCTATAGGCCGTTTAATAACCAAGATAGAACTAGAAGGCACATTTAAAACTTTTGAAATATTTATTTTTGAGACAGAGGGAGAGACAGAGACAGAGAGACAGTGAAAGTGGGGGAGGGGCAGAGAGAGAGGGAGACACAGAACCTGAAGCAGGCTCTAGGCTCTGAGCGGTCAGCACGGAGCCCGATGTGGGGCTCAAACCCACGAACTGAGCCAAAGTCGGACACTTAACCAGCTGAGCCACCCAGGCACCCCACGAAAGCGTATTTAAAAAATACGTCTACATTTAACTTGCGTAGTCTGATTTTTCTTACGTGAGCCGAGTTTGGAAAACCGATTGCATGAATGTTAGTGCACGGACGCTGCAGGTGTGGGCTGAGGGTCTGTTCAGGCAAGAGGGGCTCCTGGTGGAAGGAACTGCCCTGGAAGGAAGCAGGACGCTCTCTGCCTCCCTTCTCAGCAGACCGAGCGGGAACCCTCACCTCCCGCCCACCCGCTTGTGTACGCGGCTCAGCCACGGGGCCTCATTTCACAGCTTCGAGATCTGTCTCACCTGGCGCTGGCTAAGGCTCTTCCCGGACTTGAGGCTGTGATTAGATGACGGGGTTGCATCCTTGTTTAATAGCTTCCCCGTGGCCTTCAGGCAAATCACTTGCCCTTTCTTGAGCTTCCCGTAACTGGCCTGAGCAGGTATAGACGGGCCTGCTCTGGGTCCAGGATTAAGATTAAATACGATACTGTGTGTCGTGTGCTGTTCCAATGCCGGGCGACATTTAAGGCGTGAAATACGAATTCTATTTTAAGGAGCACTAAAGATTTCTCCTCCTTTAAAGAGAATTCACAAAATCCAGATTTGTGAGACACCGAACTGGAAAAGATTTCCGAGGCGTTCTTCCCAAAGAACCTCAGGATGGGACCTTTCGTACCACACGTATTTTAGGAAGACGTCCATCGTGTATATCCACGTGTTTGCCTAAAACATCATTGTCCTAAACGCAGCTCTCACATCTCTGCTCATTTTGGCCTGACAGCCAACTAGGGTGAATCGAAGAGCTCTAGCAAACAGTCCCACGTGCACAGTGACTCCGCCACAACGTTCGTTACTTCCTGCCCCCGGAACAGGCGGCGGGCAGTTCCGCACACGGCTACTCAGGGATTCGGGCTCCTTCCTGCTTGTGACTCAGCCACAGCCTATGTCCTGGCTGTCGCTGGAATCCAGCTAATGGAAGGGGAACGTGCCAGAACCTCACGTGGGAGGTCTCTCCCACTTCTCTTCGCGTCCCGATGAGCCCAGACACGAGGACACATCTGAGTGCCAGGGAGGCTGGGGAACGCAGCTCCAGCAGCTGGAAGGAAGGGGTTCCAGTGACCAAGCCAGCACTGTAGCCCAGAGCTCCCGACAACCATGTCTGACAAGCAGTCCCCTCCCTGATCTGAGCTACTATCCCTGCTCGCCTGGGCCCTTCTTGCTGGTCTCCTGGCTTCCACCCTCCCCGTTGAGGTCAGAGGGATCCTACTGAAACCTATGCCAGGTCACGTCGTGACCGATGCCAAACTCGAAAACGGGTTGGAAAATCGCCTGAGACCAACTTGGCACCACCCCCGCCCCCCCACATTGTCTTTCAGCCCTCATCCCCGGGCATGCAGGTCCAGAGAGGGAAATTGCCCCGGCACTCGGCCCCAGCCTGACTCCACGTTGTGGTCCCCAAAGCAAGAAACGACAAAGGCTAATTTCCAGGTAACGCTTTTATTTTTACAGCAGCAGCAGCAGCAGCAGCCACACAGCCACGGGGATGGGAAGTGTTCTAGACAGTGGGCACAGCGCCTGCAGCCAAGAGCCTGTTGGGGGACACCCGCGCCTTTCCCCTTGGTCCCCGTCATCACCGGACAAACAATAACCACACACCATGCACTGCCACGCGCATCCCCACCCCCTCCCTTCCCTTCCAGCAATATCTGATCTATGCATCCTTCCAGCCAAAAAACTCGGGGCTCTGGAGGGGAGAGGCCTATTCCTTCACTTTCCACACCCACCGCACCCCAAACCACCACACGGAGGGACAGTGATGGGACTCTGCAGGAAAGTGCCGGTAGCTAGGCTCGCCATGCTTGGAAGTCTACCCCTTTCCGGGCAAGAGATCACTGGAGCAAAACATTAACCTGAGGCTGGCGTGATCCCAAGACCTTCCCCTCCAAGCTCCAGTTTCCAGGGGAGGTCTGCGAAGGGCAGGATTTTGGTTATCCTAGGACTATCTATCATCTAGCGTGATAGAGGCTGCTGGCATCTCTGGCCACAGTCCCAGCGGCTTAAGGATGGAGACCCCTCTGGTGAAGGGACAGAGCCTTATTTGATGGGTTACTCTGCTCGGGCAAACCATTCCTCTACAGGAAGTAGGATCATCAGCTTAGCACCGAGTGGGAAGCACAGGGGCCCACATGAGAGCTAAAGCCAGAATTCACATGCTTTGCAGACACGCTGGAGAATGAGGTTTCTTATTTTTTTTTCACGTTCCGCCCCCCACCCCCCCCACCCATGGGGCCAAATGGGTAAGGGGGGTTCCCTTGCCTTCTGAGTGCCATGAACGCGCCCGGCACTCACAGGACCACGCTAAGACACTTTGCAGTGTGTTGAGACTGGTTCCATCAGGATTCTGGCAACTTACAGAGACGGGACAGACACTTCCCTGCAAGCCACAGGTGTGCCTCTCTGAAAGCGACACGACAGCTGGTCTCGGACCCAAGGAAGGACCTTGAGAGACAGCCCAAGTGTTCACTTGGAGGATTTATTTCTCACCTGACCTTCCAGGGGCGCTGCAAGCACACTGTCTAAGACAGGCATGTGCTCCTACAGCAGGAGGGCCCAGGGAGGTCTCGGCTGTACCGACAGGGTAAAATGAGGGGCCACAGCTCAGAGGCCTAAATGACCTGCCCACGGTCACATGGCTTGCTGACAAGGGAGCAGGGACTTAAAGCCAGCCCCTGCCTCTCGGGCGATGCTCTCTCTCAGAATGTCACCGCCTGGCACAGTTGGCTTAATCCCAGCTCCCCACAAGACACACTTCCTTCTCAGATTCTGGGTCCTCAGCTGAGGCCGGGCGGTTCTTCAGATGGAGTTGCATAAACAATCAAACTGTAACGAGTTGGGAAGGCCCTGGGGAGGCTCCCTTCCTTCTGGAAGGGAAACGGAGCTGATTTTCTCTGAGCTTAGGATTTGTAAGGCACTGAAATTAACTACAGCTGTGGGTGGGGGAGAACGAAGGGGGATGAGTAGTTGGAGAAATCAAGTTGATGGTCTTTCCTTCCGGCCCCACAGCGAGAATCCTCACCAAGTCTCCATTTTCCTGCTTGGTGTGGTCCACTCCTGACCCCCCACCGCATGCCGCAGAGCAGCGTGGATGCACCCCCACCGTGACTAGGCACGCTCTGGGGACCAGATGAGGCATGGAGGGTTGAGGAGCCAAGGATGGGCCCAGGATCTCCGGACCCAGTTCAGAGCAGGAGCCACTCGCTCCACCTGGGCTAGGGCAGGAGTCCGTGCTGTCTTCTCTGAGGACAAGGTCCTCTCTGAGACGTGGGGGGTGGCTGGGATGGGCCCGCAAGCCTAAGCGGGAAGGGGCAAGGGGCAGGGCATTACTAAGGGCGGCAGAGGGAACTTTGGACTGGGACCTTTGGCACAGCACATCTTGGGCCTGCCTGCCCCATCTGTTGCCCTCCCAAGAGCCTAGGGGGAGAGAGGAGCCTTCCTTCTCTCGGTGCGGAGTGCTTCTGGCTGACTGAAGCACCCGCAGTCCAGCTCTGGGGCATCCCTTCAACCCTTCCAGCCAAACCTGCGCCCAGGTGACCTCACACGGAGCCTTCCTGGACCCGGCGCTGAATCCGGAGCTCGCCGGTCAGATGAGGTGCTGAACGGGAAGCCATAGTAACCGCCGCTACACGTATCCAGCACCTCCGAGGAGACAGGCGCTTGACCTGGATGGCTGTGGCCTGCAGGCGGGTACTGTTGCCCCCTTTCAACGGGCAAAGAGCTAGGTTCAGAGGGGTTGGGTGACTTGCCCGGAGTCACACAGCTAATGAGTGCCGGAACTGGGAACTGGACTCAGGTATGTCTGACTCCGGAGCCCACGTCCTTTGCACGCCACTCGGCCGCCCCTGGGAGCCGCTGGGGTGGTCCGGGTGAAATCTCTGGAGGGGTTTCTTTCTGGAAGGGTGGATCTGGGAGGGCCGGCAAGCTTGCCTGAAGAGAAGATGCCTCCTGCACCTGGGGGACGGGGCCCACCCACATGTCTGTGTCTCTCGGGGCCAGCCCCTGCTCAGTGCCTGGCGGCCTTGCAGATCTTGTCGTACACCTCGGGGAAGGCGTCCTGGCACCCGAGCCGCTCCCGCAGCCTGTGATACAGGGAGCCGTCGAACATCTCCCAGAACTCCTCCCGGCTCATGTAGCAGTCAGCATACAGCATCTGGAACCTGCAGAGCACAGGAGGGGAGGCTGCAGGCAGGGGAAAAGGACCCGCGGGACCCCAGCTGTCCCCCACGCGTCACACGCCTTGTGGCGCGGGAAGTACTCCTGGAGGATCTCTCGTTCAACCCCCCTACCGAGCTGGTGGTGGAGGGCGGCACAGGGACGCTCGCCCCCATTTTGCCAAGGGGGCCACTGGGCTGCCTTCTTTTCATTTTTTTTTTTATTGACTGCCCATATGTAAAGGGTACAACTTGACTCAGTGTGACATTTGTATACAACCTTGAAACTGTCACCTCAGTCCAGCCCATGACCACGGGCCATCACCCCCAAAACTTTCCTCATGCCCCTGTGCCGTCCGTCACCCCCACTGACCCAGGCAGAGCTGCTTTCTGTCCCCATGGATTCTGGACTTTCGTGTAAATGCAATCATACAAGTCTCCTTTATCCTGGTTTTTGTTTTGAGTGTGTGTGTGTGTGTGTGTGTGTTTCCCAATCAGCTAATTATTTTGAGATGTGTCCGTGTTCAAGGCATCAAGCGTTTGTTCCAGGCCAGTTTCTGAGCAATGCCGTCCAGGGCCCGGCGTGGCTTTCAAGTCATGAACCCCTCCCTCCTCAGCTGTGCTCTTCCGACCCGGAGCAGCAGCCCCGAACCTATCTAAAACCACAGCGTCATCTGCTCCGACAGGGGGAGCAGGGTGATGGTGGGGCTCTGGCCCGAGCAGCTGGGGGACGCTGGTGTATTCATGGGAGGAGGAGTGGAGGAAGAAGGGTGAGAACCTCTGCAATCCCACCTCTGTACTTTTGCGAGGTGCTTCCCGAACCAAGGCTGCTGGGGCCTCACGCTCGCTAGGCAGCCAGCCGGTCTGGCCCCGGGACTGATCACCGTGGCCCTTGCTCTACACCCCTGTGGCAGCACTCTGGGGCCGGAGGAAATGCACCACCCTCTGGGCCACTCACCCATGCACGCTTCGGACGAACTTCTCCAACTGCCGCATGCAGGACCTGGCTTCAAAGTGCTTCACCCGCGGCTCCCCATAGGCTCCAATGTCAACATAAAGCTCTGCCTCATCTCCCTTGGGGTGCACCAGGCCCGGCTGGCTGGGCAGGATGAACGGGCACAGCCAGATGGGGTAGACCTGGGTGGACCAGGGAGAGGGGCGTTGGTGCTTTTTCTCCAACAGGTGACAGGCTCACGGCTGGCCCACCCCACCCCACCCCTCCCCAGGGAACCCCCTCTCTGGCTTCACTCCCAATCCCCCAGGCCGCAGCCGAGAGCACCTCCATTTCACCGCATTAGTGGACACAATGTGCTCACAGAAGTGCTCATTAGCAGCCCCCATGCCTTTGCTGAGCCATCAGGGCTCCCCATCAGGAGCCCTGAGCAGACCCGTTTTACAGCTGGGAAAACGGAGGCCCAGAGGGCAAGCGTGCCCAGGATCAGTCCCTGCCCCGGCTCACGTGGATATCATTGTGGAAGGTGTGCACAGCCTGCGACAGGCACTTCATGGGCACCAGCATGTCCTGCACCACGTGGTGCTGCTCGTACAGCTTGCGCAGGGTCTCTCCCTGGGTCAGCTTCAGGAGGGAGATCTTGGGAGGCACCATCCAGCCAAAGAGGTAGCGGAAGATGGGGTTGTTGCCGAAGGGGATGATGTCCTGAAAGACAAAGGCTGGCGATAGAGACAACAGGCCCACCAAGGCTGTGTCTCCATGCGTCAGGGCCAGGTCCTTGGTCCGTGCTCGGGGAAAGCGTGACAGGACACACTCCTCCAGCAGGAGGGGCACGGTGGTACCCGGGATTTGCCCAACCGGGTCTGGGTTTGATTCTCAGCTCGGACATTTACCCACTGCGACGGCCTGGGGTGGTTACTTAACCTCTCTGAGCGTTGTTTCCTTATCTGTAAAACAGGACTTGAGGGAACAACGAAATACCAACTGGAAGGCACTCAGCCCAGTGCCTGGAGCAAAATAAGGTAGTTATAATTGCTGTTTTTTTGTTGGGGTCAGAGTGGCTGGCACAGAGAGGCATTTCATAAGTGGTTGAAAAATACATGCTGTTGAACGAGAAAAGCGATATTCAGAGAGCTTAAGCAATTTCCCTGAGGTCGCACAGCCAGGGGCGGCTCTCACTGGAGTGGGCAAGGTCTGGCTCAGGGTCATCGACAAGCCCACTGGTTCACAGCATCCCCCGAGAGCCTTCTCTGACTCCTATTCAACGTGTTACCGCTCCCCACCCCTCCATGCACAAAAGCAAATTCTTCGTCACCTTTCAAGGCCAAGCTTGAGAGCTACCTCCGACCCTAGGCAGAACTAGCCACTTCTCTTCTCGTGCCTGTGGCCCTTCACAGCCTACCCCCCCAATTCGACCACACCCTGCACTGCCCACCAGCTCCTCCAGGGCTCCCACCAGCTGGCAAGCCTGCCCAGCCCCAACAGCGGAGACCTTGGCCCCCAGCTCAGTATCTTCCCCCTCCTCTTGCTCCAAGTCTGTCTTCCCAAGTGTCCTTGTCCACCTGCTACCCCATTCTTGAAGCCAAGGACATTCCTGTCCTCGTTCAACAATTAGGAGGTTCCATGCTGGTCGCTGGGGTGATCCCTGTCCCTGTCCTCAGGTGATGAAGAGACAGGTCATGGGACTACCGTGTGGGGAGAGCTGGGACTAAAAGACGCAGGGCCCACATCAGCAGAGGGGTCAGTGGTGGCTTCCCAAAGGAAGCAGGGTGCTGAGTTTGGAGGCTGAGTGACTCCTCCCTCCTGTCCCCTGGAAGCGGCTCTCCCGCTGGCAGCCTGCTCCCATACGGGAGGGACCTGTCTGTGCTCTGCTCTGCTGTTGGGTCCCGGCACATGACACGGGAGCGCAATGTGCAGCACGGCTTTTATTGTTCCCTCGCTTGCTTTCGGAAAAGCCACACACGCCCACAGCAGAAATCCCAGCAGTCCAAAGGTCAGGCCTCCTTTCCCGTAGTCCCTCACCCCGTTTCCCCGCTTAGTCCCGAACCCACTTCCTTCCTCCCCGACCCAACTTCCTTCCCCTCCCCAAACGCAACCACCGTTAGGAATCAGAGACATCTCGTTAGGAATCAGAGACATCTCGTGCACAGACAAGCAGATGGGCTTAAAAAACAACAGCTCCCTGGGGAGCCCGGGGGGGCTCAGTCAGGTGAAAGGCTGACTGATATCGGCTCAGGTCGTGATCTCAGGGTCGTGGGATCAAGCCCCGAGTCGGGGCTCAGCGCAGAGCCTGCTTGATTCTCTCACTCTGCCCCTCCCCCACTCATTCTCTCCCCCACCTCAAAATAAATAAATCAACAAATAAAGACAGGTCACAGATGGCATCTAACAGCCTCCTGCTCATCACTGTCTCCTGTGCATCAGCACACAGAGAGCCATCACACATGCTTGGTCGTGGGTGCCTAACACCGTACTTACTGCAGGGACCCACAAACTCGGGCTCCTGGGGTAAATCTGGTCCACAAATAACATTTTACTGGGATACAACCAGGCCCATTCATTTACATATTGTCTATATGGGTAGAGGGAGCCTCTCGAGTGACCTCATGGTCCACAAAACCTAACTATTATCCGGCCGTTCACAGAGAATGTTTGCGGATCATTGCTCTCCTATATGGATGTTCCTTGATTGATTTCATCCGTTCCCTACTGATGAGCACTTAGATTATTTCCAGACTATTCCAACGAACGTCCTTTGTATATGTATCTTTGCCCATCTGCACGTTCATTTACCTGTAAGATAAATCCCTAGAAGTGGAAAATTCTGGTTCAAAGAGTATATGCAATTTCAATTGCATTTTGCAATTGTATATTGCATATTGTATATTGTATATTGTGTATTGTATATTGCAATTTAAAGACTTTGTACCGTTTTATACTCTCCCAAACAACACAAGAGAGCGCTGTTTCCCCACACTCAGGCCAAACAGCGTTCTCCCACTTCTGCCTCGCCGTCATCCTGAGGGTGACAGATGAGACTCCTGTAGTTTTGTTCCACCCCGTCTTTAACAACGAGTGGGACCCATCACCTCTCTCACGTTTAAGCGCCTTTTGTATTTTTCCCCTAAAAACAGTCCTTTGTTGCCCGCAAGGGTCAGCTAGAACCATTCCTTTCCCCAAATCTCAACCTCAGAAAAGTTCAAGTTTTAAACAGCATGCCCTGTCCCGCCCTTCTCCTTTCCCACCTGTCCGCCCCATCATTCATCTTTTCTGCCTCTGAGTGACCTCAGGTCCCGTGTCCCTGGCTTCACTCCTGGTCCCCTGCTCTTTGCCTGCCCTTGCCTTTTACCTGGGCCCAGCCTGCCACTGGCCTGTTCTGCTCTGCTGGGCCCCACTACAGATCCAGGGGGCCTGGCCTGAGCCAGGACCCCAAACCTCAAAGGCAGGCCCTGTGGCAATGACGTTCTAAGAAACATGAACAGCCAAGAACCCCATGTAACATTTCCTACTTGTGTTACTCCCCTGTATTAGCCAGCCACTTACGCCGGCTGGCAATGAGGACATAAGAGGGAAGGGAAAGGGGGGGCTGCTCAGAGTCTTCTTCCTCTTCAGTCCTTCCTTACTTGTTAGTAAGCCGCCCTGGAGTGTTTGTGGAACGTGCATGTCACCGGGAGGGGAGATAAAAATAGCTGAGTTGGTCCTTGTGCAGCATTTCTACTGGTCCATTAAGAACGAAATTCATATGCATGAAGAGTTGAACGCTCTTATATTTGTACGTAAAAGATGAACAGTAAAGTCATTCCAATAATCTAAGTTAATAATTTTTCTTTACTTAGAACATTAAATAGCAAATATTTATGAAGAGAGAGACTGTGGGAGAAAAGAAAAGGCTCTATCATTTAGTGCCTTTGATGGCACTTCTCCCCTGCTTTCTGCACTGGGCCCGGCAGATCACGTAGCTGGCCTTGACCCCAGGTATTGCTGATTAACTGAGCTGGGTGACGGAAGGGCTGGCCCAGGTATGACAGGAACGGACTGGGCAGTTCAGCACCCAGGCCAGGTCACGTTTTGTTGATTAAAGGGTGGATTCAGCAAGGAGGAACTAGGGTATAGGGCTGCCTGGAGGAGGAGGAGTTAACCTCAGGGGAGGGGGAAAAGACTTGCAGGTGACATGGTTTATTACCCCTTCTTTCTAGAAGTCCCAGCTTCTGCAATCCCACTGTCATGGACACTGTGGTGCTCTACCCAGATGCCCTGTGTGCAAATGTCCATTGTAAATCACCCATCATACAAGATTCTGCCTTTAACTTCAGGCCGGACAGCCACTGCTTAACAGCACAAAAATATAAGACAAACCTCATTATGAATTCTAACTCTGTAATCTTAAAAAACCCACAAATTCTGGGGTGCCTGGGTGGCTCAGTCGGTTGAGCATCCGACTTCGGCTCAGGTCATGATCTCGCGGTCTCTGAGTTTGAGCCCCGTGTCGGGCTCTGTGCTGACAGCTCGGAGCCTGGAGCCTGCTTCGGATTCTGTGTCCCCCTCTCTCCCTGCCCCTCCCCCGCTCATGCTCTGTATCTCTCTCTCTGTCAAAAGTAAATAAACATTAAAAAAATTTTTTTAAATAAAAAAAACAACCCACAAATTCTTTGCTACTCCGGTTGAGCGTGGGCTGGACTTGCTCTAACGAACAGCACGGGGCGGGGGGGGGGGGGGACTGGCGGAGTGAGGAGACAGGTCATAATAGGCACCGAGGCCCCTGCTGCCTTGTCATGAGGACACTCGAACAGCCCACATGGCAAGGAACGGAGGCTTCTTGTCAACAACCGTGCGAGGGAGCCTTCTGGAAAGCAGATCTTCCATCCCTGGGCAAGCCTCTGGATGACGCTTGACTGCAACCCTAAGCCAGAGCCACCCAGATCACTCCCCAATCCCTGACCCTCAGAAAGCTGTGACAGAACCAAAAATGAGAGTCATAATCTGGCAGATGTTTTAATGCTCTAAGTTTGGGGTAGTTGCTAATATACTCGATCTCTTACTGAGTTGCGTTACTTTGGAAGACCTGAGCCTCAGTCTCCCCATCTGTAAAGTGGAAAAGACCAGAGAACTCCCCCTCCCAGGGCTGTGAGGAAGATCAAGATCATGCGAGCACGGGGTCTGGCACAACGGCTAACGCGTGAGGAGCGATTACTGCACGTCACTGCTACCTCTCGGATGCCCTCCCCAGTGTCCTCTGCTGGTCCTCGTTCTCTTGTCTCTTTAATGTCCTTGTTCTTAACAAAGACACTCCTTATGGTGTCTCCCGCATTTGGCAAAACTGCCCGCCAACTGCTGGGCCTTGACACTGTCCGAGGGAGGGCTAACGGAGGTGGGGGAATCCCCGAGGCCCCCAGTCTTGATGACTCTCCATGCCTCACTCCTCCAACTTCTCACCATGGCCCCATCACATTCAGCCCGAGAGACCTATTAGAACTGACCACCTCCTCCTAGGAGACCACCGGGCTTAATTCCTTTAGGCCTGTCACCCCTGTTTAACCTAGTCACCAGGGGCTTCCAGGTGCCCCGTTACCTCCTGTTACCTGCTACTGCAATGCAACACCCCCTTGTCTCCCAGGCCCTCCCCTGTGCTCTCGTGGTCTGACATCAGCAAAGCCCCCCCCCCCGCCGTTCTCAATCTCTTCTCTCAACATTGTCTTCCTCTCCCTGCTCTCAGCTGGAGCCTGGCTGGCCCCTGCAGGCCTCCTCGGCGGTATCATTTCCTCTTCCACGACCATCTGGGGTGGATGGAGGTGAGGGAGGGGGCTCATACTGCTTCCTGCTGCCTCATTGGTGCTTCCCGACCGCCGTTCCTCTCCTCCAAAGGCCCTCAGCAACTTTGGTGGTAGTTGCACAAGATCATGAAGGTTCTAAATGCCACTGAATTCTATACATTAAAATGATTATTTTTCGGTTATATGACTTAGAAAAAAAAGAACCCACGTAGCCCGTTTGAGGACCCACGCTCTGGCTCTTCCTCTGCCTGGAACGCTCTCCCCCCGAGCCCTGCCTGGCTTGTCCTCCCCTGCTCGGGTCCCTGCTCACAAGTCACCCCCTGAGAGGCCTTCCCGACACCCCTGTTTCAAATGTCACTTGCTCCTCACTCCTCCATGCACCAAAGCAAATTCTCGCTCACCTTTCAAGGCCAAGCTTGACAGCCACCTCTGACCTTAGGCAGAACTAGCTGCTTCCGCTTCCTGTTCCCGCGGCCCTTCACGGTGCCAGAGTCTGTCAGCTTGGCGAGGCTGCCGTCCCTCAAGGGCGGAACAGGTGTCTGTTCTGCCAGGTACCTGGCCCCGCGCCCCACTCGGTGGCAGACGCTCGATGCCAGCCTGCTATTAAGTGAGAGCGGTCTGTTCCCCCCGGAGAGGAACGACCGTGTCGCCGTGCAACAGGGTGTCTGGTTCCCCGGGACAAAGCTGCTCTTTCCCCCAGGGAGACAGTGCGGTTGCAATGCTAGCCATCCTGGTTCCCTGCCCGGCCGGCCGGGGCAGGCCGGGACTCCTGGGAAATCCGAGCCTCACCTGGAGCTCCCAGAAGATGCTGCGGGTGTGGCGGTGGTAGTAGTGTCTCAAGGGAATGTACTCCAGGCCCCCCTCGTTTGCCTTCAGGTAGTTCTCCACGTGCTTGAAGAACCAGGGCTTGTAGTAACTGCCAATGCTATTCAGCTGCAATGACAGAGGGCATCGTGTCAGCTACAGACGGGGACCGAACGCCACCAAGGGTGTGACGGTGATACCCGGCTTCGGTTCCGCACCCCTGGCCTTTTCACAGCTTTCATGTCTATCACCACCCTCGAGACTCCTGAAAACCCAGCGAGGCCGAGCGCAGCGGGTATCCTGTTAGCGGAGCGTGGTCACGCGGTGCGCCCAGGGCCTGACAGCCAGTTCCCGACAGCCTAGAGGGCTCAGCCACCCCTCCCCGCACCGGCTGCTGCCCCTCCTCGCTGGGAAAACGAAAGGGCAAACGTTGAACAACGCACGGCTCCAGGCAGGGAGCACTCTTCCCTCCCGTCAGGCTGACCCCTCGTCACCGGGTCCCGCGACGGACGGCACTAACTGACCGTGGCACTTTCCCTGCCGCCTAGAGCGGGCCTCACGACCCTCTGGGCGCTGCGCTCCCCCAGGCAGCCCCCATCGGTGAAGGACGCTCAGAGAATGAACCTCAAGCTTCCCTGGCACCGGGGCCCGTGGCCCTCAATGCCTGAATCTCATAGGGAGCCAGTCTGCTTCAGTCCTAAATGCTTCAGGACTTCACAAGCCGTGTGCCCTGGGATGACTTAGACTCCCTGGGCCTCACCTTCTTCACCCAGGAAATGACATCCGGCCAGATGCTTTAGGAGAGAGGCAGGCTGGCAGCCCGGAAGGAGTGCCGGCTCCCGACCTGGGGCCAGACCCTGGCCCAGCCACCCGCCGTCTGACCTTGGGCAGGTCACCCTCTCAGCCTATTTCTTCACATGTAAAATGGCAGTAAAAATATAAGCTCTGTGGCAGTTTTTCCGTGCTTCTTCGGAATCACACACACACACACTGCCCTCGGGCCCCGGGTCAGACCACCTTCTCTAGGGGGTGGGAGAGGCATCTGAGTTTGATGGGGCGGGTGAGGTGAGATCACACCTGGCTGGGGCACAGCAAAGGGTTAGGAGAAAGCAGAGAGTAGAGGCCAGGCAGGAGAGGCAGGATGTTGCCGGGGGACCCTCAGAGAGGTAAAGGCAGGAGCAGAGGCAAGACGAGCAAGCCCCATGGTAGCTCGTGGAGGAGAAGAATCACAACAACATGCTCCGGGCAGGTGTCACTGGCACCTGTGTGTTCGTTCTTTATCCCTTCCACAACCTTGCAAGGCAGAGCCGTCCTCGTCTCGCTGATGAGGACACTGAGAGCCATCAAGGTTGAACAGAGCATCTGAGGCCACAGGGCTGGCAAGAGGCAGAGCAAGGACTCAACCCCTTTCCTTGTTGTACAACAAGGCCAAACCTGGGCAGCAGAGAACCTTGAATGGCGGCCTCTGGGAGTGTGAGCATTGTAAAAAAAAAAAAAAAAAAATCTATTAATATTTTCTCCCAATTCCAAAAGCGACGTAAACGCCTCGTGGACACTGGAAACACTGCAGAAATATGCAACTTGGAAAGAGGAGACCCCTTAGAGCCTCACCCTCCAGAGGAACCTACAAACACCACGGGGTATTCGGTTTTCTTTTCTGCGCATACACACTGATCTGTAAAAACGGGGTCATCCTGTACCCTGTTTGCCAATTTGCTTGTTCTCCTTCCAACACACTGGGCGGACGCTGGGCAGGGCTCTTAGCCTCCCCGAGCCTTGCTTTCAGCACTGTATACTTCCTCCAGCAAAATGGAGCCATTACCCGCCCTGGAGTGGTTGGGAGACGAGAAGAGACAACGTGGCAAGTGCCCACCACGGCGCCCGCGCACAGGGCACAGCGGTCAACGTGAATGATGCTAAATTATAACACTGAACTAGGAGTCAGAGACCTGAATTTAAATTTGCCCCATGCTAGCTGGGTGGACTCAGAGAAGTCTCTTTCCCTCTCTGAGCCTCGTTTCTTTGTTTAGAGAAGGAATTGTACCAGATGATTTTCAGTCCTTTACAATTTTAAAATGTTTTAAGTATAAAATGTTTATAGATCAGGAGGCTGAAGAGTACCTATCCTTCGATGTACTTTCAGATATTATTCCCTTCACAGACAAAAGATATTCATGGCTACATGAACGGAAATAAGGAAAGACTGGAAGCAACTTATTTCCAACTGTGCGGCGGCGGTTTAGTAAATGACAGGGCGTTAGCTCAACACGATGTTCAACAGTCATGAAATGGCCGTTTTGAAGGCAACGTAACCGCGTGGAGAAACGCGTACATCACACTAAACCAGAAAATGCCAATTTGAACAGGCGATCACAGCTGAGGACAAACAAACTGAAAAACCGGACAAAGAGATGTTCTAACCTCGAACGTGACCCGAAAGCTGCAAAATAAAACGAGATGCTATTTTTAACCCTATCAGATTGGCCAAAATGAAGGCGCGATCCTATCCAGTGCTGGCAAGGTGGGGGAAAGGCACTCTCACACGCCGTCACCAGAAGCGGACAGAAGCACAACTTTCCTGAAGGACTGTTTGCTTGTAGCTGTCAGTATTTAATATGCTCAAACCCTTAAGTCAGGAATTCCAAATTTTGGACTCCGTCCCACAGAGCTGCTTGCACAAGAGGCCAAGGAGAGATGGTAGAGAATCTTTGATGCAATCTTATTTGTAAGAGCAAAACACTTGAAGCAGGATAAATGTTCATCGCTGAGCAATGGGTTGGGTCAAATATTTACACGCAATCGCGGGACACCATGGCATGAAAGGAGGGCACGTCCACCTGCACACGTGCACACACCTTGAAGAATGTTCAGGGATGGGGCGCCTGCGTGGCTCAGTCGGTTGAGCGTTGCACTCGTGATTTCGGCTCAGGTCGTGATCTCATGGTTTGTGAGTTTAAGCCCCGAGTCGGGCCCTGCACCGTTAGTGCAGAGGATTCTGTCTGCTTAGGATTCTCTCTCTCCCTCTCTCTCTGCCCCTCCCCTGTGCACTCTCTCTTTCTCTCTCTCAAAAAAAAAAAAAAAAAAAAAAAAAAAGAACGCACAGTGTTACAAGTAGTTGCTCTGGGAGTGAGCCTGGGGTAAAGAGACCCACTTTAACTTTTCCTTTTTCTTTATACACTTCAATATTGTTATGGGTAGAATAAACATATTCTAGACAGGTTGGGTCTTTTCCTTCCTTTCACTCATTTACACGTTCCAAGTCTCTCAGGAATACAAATCCCGAAAAAGCTGCTATTAAAAATTATACATTAAACGGCTATCAATCCAGATTCCGAGGCATCAAATCCATCCTTCAAATCTTGGTTCTGCATTGGGGGATGTTTACATGACTTCTCGGAGCCTCGGTTTCCTTATGTATACAGTGCGGTTGCAGTGAAGATAAAGGTTACACCTATCAAGAGACACGCACGTATCTGGCAGGGGGTCAGGGCAGAGTAAATGGATGCTTCCATCCCTCAGACAGCTCTGACTTTAATTTTTTTTTTTACATTTATTTATTTTTGAGAGACAGAGACAGCATGAGCGGGGGAGGGACAGAGAGCGAGGGAGATCCAGAATGTGAAGCAGGCCCCAGGCTCCGAGCTGTCAGCACAGAGCCCGACACGAGGCTCGAACTCACGAACCGTGAGGTCGTGACCCGAGCCGAAGTCGGACGCTTAACTGACTGAGCCACCCAGGGGCCCCAGACAGCTCTGACTTTAGATCTCAGGGTCCAAACCCCAGGTGGGCTGACCAAGGCCACAGCCTCAAAGAATGTGCTGCCAGGGTCAGGGTGGGGGAAGAGGCTCAGCCCCAGCCCACCCAGGCCTTCCTTCTCCCCAGGCCTTGGTCCTTGGCAGCTGACACCCTGGCCTACCTTGCTGGGCTCTGCCTCGTCTGTCATGACCCCTGTCATGATGACGGCCTCATCCAGGGAGTAGAGCAGTCCTTCCACGAAGTGGTTCTCCGGCCGCTGGGACTCACGGGTGAACTTGTCACAGATAGCCTCCAGGCCACGCACTGGCTCAAACCTCAGCTTGACGTACTTCTTGGCGGGGATGATGCGGATCTCGGCGGCCACCAGGAAGCCCAGGGTCCCACAGGACCACGGCACAGCGTAGAACAGGTCTGAGTTTTCCGACTGGGAGTCAGAGTCAACACATGCTGAGAGGGTGAATCCCCGGACCCCGCACCGTGGCACACAGGCAACGGGGTGCAAAGGACCCAGGGCCTCGGCTAAGTTCCTGCTGTCACTATCTCATCGTGTGAACCCGAGTAAGGAGCCCAGAAACATCAAAATGGGCCATTCCTCAAACCTACAAGGCTTTCTCAGTCCATTAGCTGTGAAATCCAACCTTCTCCTACCCCACCCCCCAGCCCCGCCCTGGCAGCCCAGAGCACTCACATTCCCACTTGAACAGTAAGGAAAGTGAGGCTCTAAGAAGTGGCAGGGCTTCTTCCCATGTGACCCGAGGCATCCCACAAGTCAGCACAGGGATGCCAGGGCTCAGGCAGGGTCACCTAAGTCCCGATCCAGCGTTCTTCCCGCAAGACCTCATCTGGTTCTGCCATCCGCTTCTAACCTTATCATTTCTCGTTTCGGTATTTGTCTTGGAGACTTCTCATCTGGTCCTTCTAATTCAGATTCTTTGATTTTAACAAAGCGCTTTTTGGAAACGTCTAGCTTTGGCTGGCCCTTACCCAAGAGGACAGTCCCGTGTGGTCACTGCGCATGCTGTATGCACTTGGTGCGGGCGGGGTGGGGTGCACTGGGGCAGGGGACTGGAGCGGGGGAGCTCGGCAGCAGGCTGGCAGAAGTCTCTGGAACAGTGGAAGTGGGCCATCTGGGCCCCCACCTCACTACACTGTCAGACAGCAGCTGTAATAACTGGGTATCTGCCAGGTACCCAGCCTCTACATTAGGAGCTTCACATCTGGCATCTATCATCTCCTCCTGATGATGCATTTGTCAGGTGAGGAAAATGGGCCTCAGAGAAGGGGAGCGATTCTCGAATGTCTGTCTCCTTTCTCTGCTGGTAATAAACAGGTTGGAAGGCTGGGCCCAGGCAAGTGTTTCAGAAAACGTGCTGAATTGGTGTGAATCCTTGTCTAAGACCGGTGTTCTCAAGCCTGCCCCGGACTCTCTTCTGTGGGACCACCGACCCTGGTCACTCTCTGAACCATCTTCCTTTAAAGAGTCACTCTGTCCCTACCATCCAGGGGCCCCTTTGATAGGCTAGGCAATCTGAGTTTGTTTAAAGTCTCAGTCCTGTCCCGCTCATTAGGGTAAAACACCTTAAATGTTTGCATCCCACTCCGGGCAGAATTAACTTTTATTTTTTCCAAACCACCCCTCTTGCCACTTTTAGTTACACCTCACAGCATATGGCATAGAGCTTTGTGGCTCAGGCCTGACTTCCCTGAGAGAGGCAGAACGGAGTGATAAATTGTTAAGGGCACTGATCTGGGCGCCTGATATTCTGGGTTTGAATCCCAGCTGTGTGGGATTTCCTCGCTGTGTGTCCCAGGAAGGTTTATCAACCTCTTTGTGTTTTAGTTTCCTATCTATAAGATGTGGCTAATACTATTACCTCAGGAAGTTATCGAAAGATTAGATGGCTTAATACGTATGAAGCATTTATAATAGTATTTGAGCACGTGTAAGGGGTTATATCAATCTTTGTGATTATTATGAATACAGACCCAGACCGAACAGGTGTGTTTGAAGGGAAGCATCCCCAGGGTCCCTCCCTCCCCAACCCCCGGACCCTTGATGCCCAGGGCAGGCTGGTGGGATGTCCCCCGTCTCTGAACTCACCGGTGTGCATCGCACAAAGCTGCCGTCAGCCAGGACCAGCTCGTAGGCGGTGCAGATGTGTTGGAACAGACCGTACTTGTGCGATGATGACTCAATGCCCGTGCCCATGATCAAGCCCCCTGCAGAGACACGTGTGTTAGCCAGGCAGAGCTGTGGGGTGCAGGTTCAAGGGGGATTGGGTAAAGGGCACTTCATGGGAGCTGGGGTTGCTCACAGCACAAGGGAGATGTGAGAGGGCTGGCTGCTTGGGATAGATTTCCCATCTCTTTGGATCTGGAGAGGAGAGGGAAGGAGGAGCTAGGACAGGACCTGAGGGCTTTCCCAGCGTAGGGGAATGGACATGACAGCCTGTCAAAGGCGTTCACACCCTCACCTCTGGCCAGACCCAGCTTAGAAAACCATGTTCATTCATCTTAAGAGAGACCTTGATGAAAAGGGCGGTTGTCTGGGTGGCAGGATGCCATGCTCTGTGGGAATAGTTACAGGAGCTAAAGGTGTTTGCCCTGGAAAGGAAAAGCTTTGGGGATCATGAATCCTGAGGAAGAAGAGAGGGACTAGACTTATTGTGTTCACTCTACAAGGCAGAACTGGAATAACGGACATGAGTCACAGGGACGCATATTTGCACCAGAGAGGAGAAGGTGCTGCCTAATAACCTGAGCTGCTCAGAGATGGAAAGGTAGGCAGTGAACGCCCTGTCTTTGGCGCTAGGTGGACAGAGGTGGTGGCTTCTGTCATGGATGGAACAGTGGCGGCCCCTGAACCAACACGGTGCCTCAGCTCTGACCCTACAGTCCTCACCCACTGTGAGGTCATCCAGCTCGGGCAACACAGGCAGGGTCCAGCCAATGGAGGTCAGCAGGGCAGTCACCTGACCCATGGTCACCAAGGGTTCCACACGGACAATCTGTTGACACAAGAAGAGAGACCCTGGGTCACAAGGAGGCTGCAAGGGCTACTGGGGGCTTCTCCACACAGAAGGTGTCATCCCAAACCTTCTCACACAATCACACAGGATTTCTACATGCCGTTTATGGCCTCTTTCTAGAATATGACACTAGCTTTCGTTACAGTGAATGGGGTTTCTGGTGCTGGGTTTGCTAGTGTTTAATCTCATCCTTTCAAATATCGTTACACTTAATACTTAGGATTATTTTTCTTTGAGATTATAGAAGTGCTCATTTATTTGAAAGAAACTGCATATATGATAAAGACAAAAATCATCCATCCTACTTCTTCGTGTCATCCTAGCTATCAGCGTTAATACTGGAGTGTATTTACTTTCAGTCTTTTCCCACAGCATGTATGGCTATTTTGCATGTCGTAATACAACGCACACGTAACACACAAATTCAGGCACGCATACACATATTTTTCTGCTTTGCTTTTTAAAATTTGACACTATGACCATCATCCCTTGCCATTAAATATTCTTGGAAAACACAATTTTTAATAGACACATTAACATGCCAACGTGTACTTCTGCTTCTAGTCCAGATGGAGAAACAGGGACCAGATTTACCCTGCTGCCTGAAAGCAGGAAACAGACAAAATAAGCAAAACGAGAGTTTCAACATCGTGGACATTGGGCAATGACGTTAATGACCCCTGGGAGGCAGGAAACAAAGGGAGCCCTGTGAACGCCCAGCCTAATTCCCTGGAATCAGGCAGTGCAGGGAGGGGAAAGGCAGCGGAGCCCAGCGAACTCTGTGTTGAGAGCCGCAGAAGACCAAGGTGAATTGAGTCTGCAGGACAGAGCACCGGAGGGGAGAACTGCACAGAGAAAATTTCGATGAACCGCAAAGGATGCCCACCGAGCGTTCAGTGAAGTATGATCAGTGCATACACGTAAGGAAGTTACCTGAGGCTGAGGCTCGGGAAAGTGGCAACAATGCCAAGGGCTCACCCAGGGAAGGAAGGAATATCTGTTCTCACAAGGCAGACTGGAGAACCTCAGGGTTCATAAGGCAATGGGGAGAGTATGACCTTGCCTCAGCAATGGGGAAGAACTATCCTTAGATTACCCGCTGCTTTGACCCCACCTGAAAAATCAAGACCCAAGAGGATCAAACTATTTCCCAGTAACATAGCTGTGTCCCAGAACAAAGCTCAAGAAGAGTTACAGGAACACAAAAATATTCAGCACCCAACACGGTAAAATTCACAATGTCTAGAACCCAGTCGAAGTTTACCAGGTATGCAAAGAGGCAGGAGGATTTGACTCATAAAAGAAGGAAAATCAATCAATCTGTTTTGATAAAATAGGCCCAGATTTGGCAGAGATATTACAATTAGCAAACAAGAACATTAAAATAATTGTTATAAACCAGTAATTATATTACTATATTTCCTATATTCAAAAAATTAAGTAGAGATGTTAAAAAGACAGTAAAAAGATCCTAATCAAACTTCTAGAAATGAAAACAACATCAGAGATGAAAGATACACTGGCTGGGATCAACAGCAAAGTAGACACTGCAGGAAAAAAGAGCAGTGCACTCAAGGACACAGCAATTCGAACTCTCCTAAAGGAAACACCCAAAGAAAAATTTTTTTACAATGTTTACAGTGTATAAGTGAGCTGAGCCCTGGAACAACGTTAAGAAGTCTCATAGATGTGTGACAGTCCTCAAAGGAGAGCAGGAGACAGAAAAAAACACTTGAAGAAATAATGACCCCCACATTTTCCAAATTTGGTGAAAATTATAATGGATCCCAAGCACAAGAATTAGGAAAAAAAACTATACCAAGGGGCATCATAATAAAATTGCTCAAAACTAATGATAAAATCTTAGAAGCAGCCAGAAATAAAAAAGACACGTTCCACGCAGAGGAACAAAGATCAGGATGAGAGGTTGCTTTGTTGGAAACAATGCAGGAAAGAAGACAGTGAAGCATCTTTAACTTACAGCGAAAAAAAACCCCTATCAGCCTAGAATTTCATACCCAGTGAAAACAACTTTCAAAAATGAAGGCAACCTAAAATGTGTTAGGATGGATTATCAAAAAACAAAACAAACAAAAACCCGGAAAATAACACGTGACGGTGAAGATGTGGAGAAATTGAAACCCTGGTGTACCGTTGGTGGGAACGCAAAATGGTATAGCTGCTGTGGAAAACAGTATGGCAGGTCCTCAAAAAAGATTAAACATAGAATTACCATACGATCCAGCAATCCCACTTTTGGCTATATACCTGAAAGAATTGAATGCAGGACTTGAAAAGGTATTTGTACATCCACATTCCTAGTGGCATGATTCACAATAGCTAAAACATGGGAACAACCCAATGTCCATCAACAGATTAATGGATAAGCAAAATGTGGTGTTTGTGTGTGTGTGTGTATATATATATATATATACACACACACACACAATGAAACATTGTTCACCCTTTAAAAGGAAGAAAATTCTGCAATATGCTATAAGATGAATGAACCTTAAGGACATTACGCCAAGCAAAATAGATAGGCACAAAAAAACAAATACTGTATGATTCCACTTATGAAGTACACTGAGTAGCCAAAATCACAAAGATAGAATTTGTTCAGTGTATGCTGAAAAACAGTTAAGATGACTGTGGCGCCTGGCGGGCTCAGTCTGTGGAGCATGTGACTCTTGATCTCAGGGTCGTGAGTTCAAGACCCATATTGGGCATGGAGCCTACTTAAAAAATATGGTTTGGCAACTGGGTGGGTCTGCTGGTGAAGCGTCTGCCTTGATTTCAGCTCAGGGTCGTGAGATCAAGCCCTGCATTGGGCTCCACGTTGGGCATGGAACCTGCTTAAGATTCTCTCTCTCCCTCTCTCTCTCTGCCCCTCTCCCCACCGACAACAAAATAGGTCAAGATGAGAAATTTTATGTTATATGTAGTTCCCCAAAATAAAAAAGAAATGTAAAGGAAATGAAGGCAAAAACAAGAAAAATATTTTCAGACATTACCATAGCTGAAAGCTTCGTCACCAGCAAAATCACCATACAAGAAATGTTGAAGGAATTCCTTCAGGCAGAAAGAAAAATGAAACCAGATGGAAACACGAGGCAATGAAGAAATGGTAACTACATCGGTAAGTAAGATTTTTTTCTTATTATTCATATTTCTTCGAAAGATAACAGACTTTTAAATAATAGTGGGGTTTACAACATATAAAAGTATGACAACGATAGCACAAAGGTGGAAAGAAGAGAACCGGAAGTGCTTTAATGTTAAAGACCCTTACAATACACATGACATAGGATGCTATCATTTGAAGGTAGACTGGGATAAGCGAAGTGCAAACTATAAATCCTAAAACAACCGCCAAAAGAACAAAACATAAAGTTACAGGTAAGCCAACCAAAGAGTTAAAACAGGATTACAAAAATGATTCCATAATCCAAAAGAAGGCAAAAAAAAAAAAAAAAAAAAAAAAAAAAAAAAAAGAAAAAAAACGAAAAAGGGAACAAAGAACAAAGGGACAAATAGAAGACAAAGAACAAGGTGACAGATTTAAATCAAACCTTATTGATAATGGCATTAAATAAAAACGGCTTTAACGTCTCAGTTAAAAGGCAGAGATTGTCAGATCGGATTAAAAAGCAGTATCTAACTATATGTTGCCTGTAAGGAACACGCTTTAAATATAAGTGGACACCATGCCACCACTAGTCAAGAGAGAGATGAAATGACTTTATTAATCATATCAGATAAAGTAGATCTCAAAGAAGGTAACTAGGAATAAAATGAGTCATTTCATAATGATAAAGGGATTCATCAAGAGGACATAAATCATTCAATCAAGAGGACATAAAAATCCTAAACATTTATATACCTATTAGCAGAGCTTCAAAATACATGAAGCAAAACCTGATGGAGCTCTAAGAGAACTAAATCCACAATCACAGGCAGAGATTTCAATATCTCTCTTTCAATAATTGACAGCACAGAGAGAAAATTTGTAAGAATATAGAAAACTTGGAACAACAAACTTGAATCAACAAACTTGACCTGACATGCCACCCTAAAGAGCAGAATATGTGTTAAAAAAAATGCACATGGAACATTTACCAAGATAGCCCATATTCTGGGCAATAAAGTAAGTCTCAGTAAGATGAAAAGGATTCTAATCATATAAAGTATGTTTTCTAACCATAACCGAATTAAATTAGGAATCGGTAATAGAAAGATCTCTGGGAAATTCCCAAATATTTGGAAACTGAATAACGTGCTTCTAAATAACCCATGAGTGAAAGCAATATCAAAAGGAAAACCAGGGATGCCTGGGTGGCTCAGTCGGTTGAGTGTCTGGCCCTTGATCTCAGCTCAGGTCATAATCCCAGGGTCATGGGATTGAGCCCCATGTCAGACTCTGCACTGAGCATGGAGCCTGCTTAACATTTTCTTTCCCTCTCTCTCTGCTTCTCGCCTGTGCACACACTCACTCTCTCTCTTAAAAAAAAGAAAAAAGAGAAACCAGAAAGTATTTTGAACTAAATGAATGTGAAGAGATTCAAAATTTGTGGGATTGTTTTAAAACTGTGCTTTGGGGGAAAATTTATAGCACTAAACATCTATATTAGAAAAAAAGGCCTAAATCAATTACCTCAGCTTTCAACCTAAAAAAACTAGACCAAATTAGTGTAAAATTAAATGCAAAGTAAGTAAAAGAAAGGAATTAAGAAAGATCAAAGCAGAAGTCAATGAAATAGAAAACAAACAAACCAAAAGTAGAGAAAAATCAATGAAACCGAAGCTACTTCTGTGAGAAGATCAGTATAGTTGACTAACCTCTAGCTAGACTGGTCGGGAAGAAGAGAAGAGTCACAAATGACCAATATCAGGAATGAAACATGTGGCATCACTACAGATTCTACAGGTGTTCAAAAGACAGTAGGGGAGTATCATGAATAACCTAATGTCAATTCATTATACAACTTGAAATAGACAAACAGCTTTAGAGACACAAACTACCAAGCTCACCAAGAAGAAACAAACTGAAGAGTCATAGTGCTATTATAAATTTTTATTTTGTAGATAAAAACTTGCTCACAAAGAAAAATCCAGGCCCAGATGGTTTCACTGTTAATTCTACTAATTACTGCATGAAGAAATAATACCAATTTTATACAAACACCTCCAGAAAAAATGAAAAAGAAGGAATACTTCCCAACTCATTCTTAGGGACTTATTATAAAGCGACAGCAATTGAGACAGTATGGTATTGGCATACAGATGGGCAAACAGATCAACAGAACAGAAGATTCCAGAAACAGACCTACGTATACGAACAATGATTTTCAACAAAGGAGCAAAGCCAATTCAGTGGAGAAAAGATTATCTCTTCAACAAAAGGGGCTAGAACAACAGGAAATCCACATACAAAAAAATATTTTTTCATCCACATTTGATACCATATGCAAAAATTAACTCCAAATGGATCAAGGTCTTAAATGTAAAACAGAAAATTGTAATACTTCTAGAAGAAAACATAGGACTAGGGCAAGACTTCTTAAATAAGACATCACAAATACAACCTATGAAAGAAATTAATATACTGAACTCCAAAGTTAACTCTGGTTTTCAAAAGAAGTCAAAAACTGGAGAAAATATTTGTAAATTGTGTATCTGATGAAGGACTTGTTTCTAGAATATATAATAGGAAAGCAACCCAATAAAAAGACTCAACCTAAGATTTGAACAGGCACTTCACCAAAAAAGATACACAAATGGCAAGTATGCACATGGAAAGATGCCCATCGTCAGTCATTAGGAAAATGGAAGTTAAACCACAACGAGCTACCACTACAGACCCATTAGGATTAAGACCAACCACACTAAGTTTATGATGATGTGGAGCCACTGGAACGCTCGTGGGAATGTGAAATGCGACAACCGCTTTAGAAAACAATTTAACCATTTCTTAAAAAGTTAACCATACTCCCATCATAGGATCCAGCTATCCCACTTCCAGGTATTTACCCAAAAGAAAGTATAGGTCCATATAGAGACTGTACACAAGTGCTCCTAGCCACTCGGTAATAGCCCCAAACTGGAAACAACCCAAATGTCCATCGATAAGTGAATGGGTAAACAAACTGTGATCTACATAAACAATGGAATACTACTCATCAGTAAAACAGAACGCACTTCTGATACTTGCTTCAACATGGATGTATCTCAAAATTACTATGCTGAGTGAGGGGCACCTGAGTGGCTCAGTTGGTTGAGTGTCTGACTTCGGCTCAGGTCATGATCTCCTGGTTTGTGGGTTTGAGCCCCAAGTCAGGCTCTGTGCTGACAGCCTGGAGCCTGGAGCCTGCTTCAGACTCTGTGTCTCCCTCTCTCTGCCCCTCCCCCCCCCCAAAAATAAATAATCATTAAAAAAAAATTATGCTGAGTGAAAGTTGTCAGACAAAATAAAAAAGAGTACCTAATGCCTGATGCCATTTATATGAAACTCGACATACAAACTAATGATACAAAGCAGGCCATTATTTGCCTAGGAATGTGGGGGGAAGAGGCAGGTAGGGGGCTAAACAAGGGATTCCCAAGGGGCACAAGGAAACTTCTGGGGGCAATGGGTATGTTCATTGTCTTGATTGTGCATACATATGCCAAAATTTATTGTCATGGGACACCTGTGCACTCTTTCATATCAAGTATATATCAATAAAGCTGCTTAGGAAAAAAAGAAAAGACACAGGGACATTAAGCAACATGGCCAAGGCCTCACAACAAAATGCCATAGTGTGGATACACCATATCTAATAACTCCCTACTACTAGGGTATTGTGTGATCTTCCATTAGAAATAAAATTGTGACAGAAAGAGAAGGAGGGAGGGAGGGAAAGAGAGAGAAAGGAAGAGAGAGAAAGGAAAGAAGGAAGGAAGTAAAGAAAAGAAAAAAGTAAAGGAAGGAAAAGAGAGAGGGAGAAAGGGAAGAAGCAAAGGAAGGAAGGAAGGTAGGAAGGAAGGAAGAAGTGATACAATCCCCCTGTGCTGTCTTTGATTTAGACTTATTTCCTTTTTCCTTATGCCAGGTTTCAAGAAAAACCATTGGACAGGACAAAGATTAAGCACATGTCTAAGTCTATTAACAAGTGGGTCACCCTTCCCCCTTGCCGCCTCCAAAGCCCATTTTTTACCAGAATGCTTCCTTACTGGGAAGGGGTAATAGGTTGCATTTTCTCTCTCCTCTTTGCCCACGATTACCCCATCCTTTCTTCCCATGGAACTGCTGACAATCAACAGGTCTCCCTGAGCTCAATTTGCCCCTCCTGGGGAACAAGGCTATGACTGATCTCTTCCAAAGCTATGAGGTTTTGAAGGATGGCAGAGCCTTCTGTGATGACCAGGGGTCTTGGTCCCGTCCCCGCCGGGGTCTTCTTGGTTGAAGTCTCCCTGTGAGTCACTTGCACCAGGGGTAGTGCCCCACCTGCTCCCCGAGCCAGGGAACTGTGGCACCCTCACCTGTTTCTTGGTGTCTACCTCCAGAATGTCCATCAGGTTGATCATGATGTTTTTGTGTGTCTTCTTGTACTTCCCGACCCGCAGCGAGACAGTGAGCCAGCCGGGGCGTCCCGTGCACATGAAAGTCTTGCTGCCCTGCTCCTTCCATTCCCGCACCTGCAACAGTGGGACAGAGACTGAGCTGGCCCCACCAGGGGTCCCCAGAGCAGCTCGCGGCCCTGTTTTCATGAGAGGGCGCCTGGAGTGACGCCTTCCCGTGTGAGCAAATATTTACTGAGCCTCTGCATCCTGCCAGGCCCTGGCAGGCCCACAGGCCTTTCCCTCTGAAACCTCCCCGGCTAGTGTGGCCAACAGAAAAGCCGAGGTGTTACCACACCCCCAAAACAGGATGAAGAAAGAGCTAAAAAACAGGATCAAAGTGCTATGGAAACAACTCTAACTGGGAAGCTCGGGAAAGGTTTTGTAGCCATCATAACACAACCTGACAAGGGAAAACCATTTACTGGGTGCCCCCACTGTGCCAGGCACCCACTGTACACTGTGGGTACTTTACTTCTCCCAGCAACCCCAGCAGGGCGGGATGACCAGCCCTCTTTTGTAGGTGAGAAAACCGAGAAGCAGAATAATTTGGTCAATCAACCAGTGAAGGGCAGAGCCCAGATTCACAGGCAGGACTGTCCAACTTCAGACCTGGAAAGATAGACGTGCTTGTGTTAACGGTCAAGAACAGAATAACAGTTAACACTCATTACTGAGGCTCATTATGTGCCAAGCCCTGTTCTAAGCATGTGTGTGTATGTGTGTATATGTGTGTGTGTGTGTGTTAACTCGTGTCACTTGAAGGGTGAGAGTAGGGGCAGGGAAGGACCACCAATCCGATGGAAGGAAGAGCTTTGCAAAACCTCTACTCTAAGTGACCAGAACACAAAACACCGAGAGCAAACGGCGAGGTGCCATGCCTATCAGGAACATGGGAGGAAGTGTCCCCTTCCTACTGAGAAGGACATCTGTCGCTGTGAGCTTCGACCACCCATTTCCTCGTCATATGCTTCTAATATTCCCATCTTCCTTTGGTCCAGGTGATGCTGAGTCTAGCCCTGCCCCAGAAGGTGGGCACAGGACTGAGGTCTGATTCCATCCTTCGGGGCCATAGTGACAGGTTCTGGGAGGGGCCCAGGATCCCAGTCAAGACAGTAAGACCTGTTCTAGGAGAGGCGCTCCCATTTTACTGGGGTTGCTGAGCTGGTTGGATGAAACTGCTGGGGTTTCCACAGGGAAACGGGTCTCCCTGAGAATGAGGTCAACCCGGAGGAAAGCAGGGCCAAAAGATGGCAGAGGGATGGAGAGTTGGGAGATTAGGGACAGGCGATCCTGGATCCAGTCATACCTGAGCCAGTTTTACTCCTGGACTTTTCAGGACCTGGGCCAATAAAATCCCTTTTTGTTCAGGCCAATCTGAGTTTGGATCCTATCACATGCAACCAAGTTGTGGAGGACGTTGCATTGAAGCAAGAGCTGTTTGTGAGGCAAACCGCTCAACATGGGGGAGAACTTTCCTACCATCAGAGGCCAGAGCACCCTGTGAAACACAGGTGTTCGAGCAGAGGAGGGTTACTGACGAAGAGATTTCTGTGAAGGGGTGAGAGGTGGGATTCCACCATCAAGCAGGCCTTGCCCCTGCCTGACTCTGCAGTCCCAGGACTTCAAACTCAGCGGTGCAGGAAATGGATTGTGGGTGCGTCGGATGGGCCACGGGAAGTGAGTCTGAGGTTTTAAAGCCTGAACCACCGGTTGGACTGGATCCTGATGCGAACCAAACAAGAATCTGGGCAGGGAGGCAATGTTCTTGTGACCACGTGCCAGAGAGAGGTGGGGACGGCCGAGATAAGGGGCAACTACTTAAGTGGCTGGTCCGATGGCTGTTACCACGAGCTAGGTGTGAGGCAACCGAACCAGACCTTCTGGGTGGAATGGAAAGGGCTGGGAAAGAAGATAGGTCAGAGTTCAGGCTCTAAAACCAGGCTGACCTGGGCCTGGGGTCCAGCCCCATTTACTAGCTATACCCACTTGGACACATCACTACGGCTTCAGCTTCAATTTTTCCACCTGTAAAACAGGCATAAGACCTACCAGGGTTGCTGTGAGATTAGAAACGATGGACATCAGGGGCACAGGCGGTGGCACATGGCAGGTCCAAGGCAGTGGGCTGGTTTGGGCAAGCCTCTTGTCTTCCTGTCCAGTGAACCCTATGGCTTCGTTCAGGTGAACAAGTGCTCACTGGGCTGCTCTGGGCCAGACCCCATGGGCCCGATGTGAGTTGGACAACGGTCCTTGCCTTCAAGGAGCTCACACTCTGATTGGTCGGGAGGAGGGGGGGCGGTGACAAATACATGGAGAATCTGAACAAGCGGAAAGAGCTAGGAAAGAGGGTGCAACTGGGAAGGGAGGGTAGGCAGGGCTCTGGAGCTGTGACTGATCAACTGAGGCCAGGGCAGCCCACGCAAAGCAGTTCCAGATGCTGCATCCTGCCACCCAGTCCAAGGTCTTATCCTTCACGGGAGTGGCCCTCAGCATCCATCTTCCCACTCTTGCTTGCAGCACCCAGCCCTACGCCAACAGAACATGGAGGCTGCTACACCTGTGGTGAGGGTGGTGGCAGGAAACAGAAGCTCCTTGCAACCTAACACCCCTAAGAGAGGAACATAAGCAGGGGCAGAGGGAGCCAAGAAAATGCCCAGACCCGATGCTCATGCCAACGCTGGGCACGGAGAAGGAGGCTCCACTGTGAGCACCGGCTGGGGCACAGGCTCCGGAGGCGCAGACACGGAGGAGGACTTCCAGAGTTACTGGAGATGTCTCCCCAAGGAGTGAACGCCAGGCCCAGAGCCGCGCCGCGAGGCTCCTCGCCCTGGCTGGGTGCTACTTTCTCACTTTAGTCCTTCAGTCTACAGGAATCCACAGCTCCCGGCTGCTACAGAGTAAACTCCAAACTCAAGGCCCCGCCCCAACCTAGCTCGGAACTGACTTCCAACCTTCTCCCGCTCTGGACCTTGGCTCAAATCCGACCCTCCCCCTGACACCTCTTCCTCCCTACTTCCCAGTCTCTAGTGCCAGCTCCACCTCCCAGAGGGCCTCCCCGCTCTGAGACCGCTTGGGACTGGTGGCAGCCACCTGTGCACGGCTCACCTTCCCCTATCTCGTGATCCTTTATATCCCTCTGGGGACCCGCACGTGCTCCGCACACAGTAGGCACTCCACAGACACCGAGCAACGTTCTGTCCCCCGAAGGCCTTTGCTCACTCCGTTCCCTCTCCGGGAAGCACCACCCCCCCCATCACATTTTGAGTTCAAACCCCCCTCCAAAACCGGCGCACCGCCCGCCACCTCGCACCCGGCGTGGCGCTCTCAGCGCGCACGACCGAGTGCCGCGGACCGGCTCCGGTGTGCCCCGCCCGGCGTCGCTCACCTGCTTCTGGATGTCCCGCACACGCTGCCCGTGCAGCCGCGGCGCGCTGCTGAGCTTGAACACCACCCAGGCGCGCACGTAGTAGTAGATGTCGAAGATGAGCGAGAGCGGCAGGAGGAAGAGGCACACGAACACCCAGCGCTGGTGGATGAGCACGAACTCCAGCCCCTTCACGCGAACCCAGAGCAGGAAGAGCAGCGCGCACACGGCCAGCGACACGGCGGGCTCCATGGTGGGGCCAGCGGCGCGCCGCGCGGGGGAGGGGGTGCCAGCTCGCGCCGCCTGTCACCGCCACCCGCTCCTCGCCCGCCTGCGCCCGCGCCGCCCGCAGCCCGCTCCCGGGGAGTCTTGGGGTCGCGTCGCCGCCTCGCGATTGGCTGGGGTCGCAAAGGTTCGGTGGGCCGAGACCCGGCTGGCGACCAATGGTGAGCCGCGCCGGAGATCGGACCAGGAAACCGCTGCGTTTATTGGCTGCGGGAGTCAGGCCGCTCCACCCTCTTCTCTCCGACGCGTGGGGAGGGGTGGCCGGGGACACGCGCGCTGGTGGGGTCAACTGCGCCCTGCGGTGCTGGAGGCTGTGCGGACGCGGGCGGCGGCGGTCGAGGGATGCGGCTGCTGCCCCTGCTCCTTAAGTGGTGCCTCCTCGAGGGTCGCGTTAAGCGGTCATGCGTTGGGTTACTTCCGACAGGTGCGGTGGGGGCTCCCCACCGCCCTGGGTCAGCCACCCTGCAGCTTGGCCCAGGATTCCTGTCCCGGCCGGCCGGAGAGGATGCAAACCTGGCCTTGACCTCGGCAGGTCAGGTCACTCCGTGCCCGCAAGACCACATAACGCACCTTTTATTTAGTCTTGAGGCGCTTTCTGTAGATTCATTTGAGTTACACAGCAGTTCTTTTTGGGCGGTGGGTAGTAGTGTGAGCCCCATTTTATCCACGAGGAAACATTCCAGAAGCGTGAAGACCTGTCCCTGAACTCCAAAAGGCTTTTGAGGGATAGGCTGTGGTCAGCAGCCTTCCCCGTTTTCCACTTGCCTGAGGCAGATAGGCAGGACTGGAGGGAGAAGAAGGAAGGAAGGAGTCCCAGCCATTGCAAACGCAGTAGCGGCCACTGTGCCCTGCAGTGTCGCAAGCCCCAGGGGTGGGGTGCTCTGGGGCAGTCAGTACAGAGGAGTCATGACTGTTACCGGCGTTTCACCTCAATTCTGTAGAAAGCAGGTTGTTTTACTAATATTTTGGAAAGTGTAAGAGATTTTTATTTTAGAAGCTAAACATGACTGATCAGGTCCTACACTGGTCCTGCTTACCTATCCACTTCCCTCTCTCTCATCTTTGCAGAAACATGCACTCTTAGGTGGTTCCCTGGACCCCATTATCCCTCATTTTTTCATTGCCTCTGCTCACGCCGGCACCTCTGGAATGCTCTTACCCAGGTCCTTAGTAGAGCTAACCTTAAACACATCCTTGAAACCAGCTCAGGGCCACCTCTAAAACTACATTTATGGCACTTCCTTCCCCTTTCAGGTGCTCAAAAAAGAGAGTGCATCTGTCACGATTCTTTCACGTTATTTTTAAAGTATCTATGTGTCTTTCACCCCCACAGACAGCTTTAGGGCACATGATGTCTCGTTCACTTTTGTATTTCCAGTTTCTAGCATAATGCTTGATGTTAGACACTCCGGCTTTTGTTGACCAATGAATGAATGAAGAATGTGGGCTGAGGCTCAAATATTCATTGGGCTTTAAAAATGAATAGTCTAGGGGCGCCTGGGTGGCTCAGTGAGTCAGGCGTCTGACTCTTGATTTCTGTTCAGGTCATGATCTCACAGTTCATGGTTTTGAGGCCTGCACTGGGTTCTGTGCTGACAGTGCGGAGTCTGCTTCGAATTCTCTCTCCCCCTCTCTCTGCCCCTCCTCTGCTCGTGCTCTTCTCTTTCTCTCAAAACCAATAAACTTAAAAAAAAAAAAAAAAAAAAAGAAGAATAGACCTGTTTTGTCTTATACAACAGCTCCTAGCTATTGGCTTGTGGCCTATCCAGGCTGAGATGTACTTTAAGTGTAAAACACACTGGATTTCAAAGGCAGTACGAAAAAGAGAATGCAAAATATTTCATTAATAATTTTTATATTGATTACACATTGAAATGGTGTTTTGATGCCCTGGGCTAAATAAAATATTGAAGTTGATCTCACTTGCCGCGTTTGCTTTTTATTTATTTATTTATTTATTATTATTTTTTTTTAATTTTTTTTTCAACGTTTATTTATTTTTGGGACAGAGAGAGACAGAGCATGAACGGGGGAGGGGCAGAGAGAGAGGGAGACACAGAATCGGAACAGGCTCCAGGCTCTGAGCTCTGAGCCATCGGCCCAGAGCCCGACGCGGGGCTCGAACTCCCGGACCGCGAGATCGTGACCTGGCTGAAGTCGGACGCTTAACCGACTGCGCCACCCAGGCGCCCCAACGTTTGCTTTTTAAAGGTGGCTACTAAAAATTGTTAAATGACAGACTTGTCTCAAGTTCTGTCTCTCTGAAGCTCCAGTCAAGAGGGGGCAATTGAAATGCAAACTTCATACACGAAGTTACCCTGCAGCCACTATGGAAAAGGCCTTTCCTCTGCTTCCTATGCCTGAACTCAAACATTGGAACTGTTAGAGAGGGCTTTGCTTTAAAAGCTTAACCATCCTAAAACAACAACAATAACAAAAAAGCAAAAAAAGCAAAAAAAAAAAAAAAGGAAAACACACACACACACACAGAAACCTTAACCATTCTGAGCGTCGTTGGACTATTAGGTGATTGGGAAAGTTAAGTTCCACCTAAACATCACCGTTAGACTGAAGCGTGTTGTCCTTTGTAGGAGAAACCTCGAAATGACTGCTGATCAGGATAGTTTACACTAGGGAAGAGGAGGAAGAAGCCTCAATAAGACTGAGAACTCTCAAAAAAGGAAAGGAACAAAAACATACTCAGAACAGTTGTTTACCCAGCCCGCATGTTCTCATTCTCTCTTCCTGCCTTCCCGCCTGCGTCTTTGATTCTTCTTTTCTGTCTCCATAAACCTCAACCTTTGGGGCTGCTATTGTCGAGGTGAGAAAAATAGTAACCTCCAGTTGGGCCAATTAATTAATTTTACCTTTTAAATGAACATGTAGCAAAAGGGCTTATGATTGTGTGCCGTTTATGAATGTTAGCACATGGAGGGGTTCTTGTAACCACCAACACAATCATCACCCCCAAAAACTCCCTCCTTTGAGGTCATGTCCTTCTCCCACCTTTAGCCTCTGGTGACCACAGCTGTGTTCTCAGTTGTATAGTTTTGTCTTTTCCAGAGGTAAAGGTCATGTGAACAGAATCAAATCATACAGTTTATTACCTTGGGTCCGTTAATTGTTGGTAGAGGATTATTTATAGTGGTAAAACACATACAACAATGATCATTGTAGCTATTTTTAAGTGGGACAGTTCAGTGGTATTAAATACATTCACATTGGGGCGCCTGGGTGGCGCAGTCGGTTAAGCGTCCGACTTCAGCCAGGTCACGATCTCGCGGTCCGTGAGTTCGAGCCCCGCGTCAGGCTCTGGGCTAATGGCTCAGAGCCTGGAGCCTGTTTCCGATTCTGTGTCTCCCTCTCTCTCTGCCCCTCCCCCGTTCATGCTCTGTCTCTCTCTGTCCCCCCCCCCCAAAAAAAAATAAATAAATAAATAAATAAATACATTCACATTGTAGTGCATCTATCACCACCATTCAGCCCCATAATTCCTTTCATCTGAAACTTTGTGCTTTTTACACAATAACTCCCCGTTCTCCCCTCCCCCTCTCATCTCATTCAGAGAGAAGAACCACCATTCTTGAGTTTGACTACTCAAAGTTTCTCATAGAAGTAGCTTACTTCATTTAGCATCATGTCCTCAAGCTTCATCCTCGTTGTAGCATACTACAGAATTTCCTTCCTTTTTAAGGTCGAAATATCCCATTGTATGTACCGCTTTTGACTTATCCATTCATCCATTGATGAACACTGGGTTGGCTCCGTGTGTTAGCCATGTCCACAATGCTGCTATCAACATGGGTGGACAAATATCCTTTCGAGATCTTGCTTTCAATTCTTTTGGGTATACACCCAGAAGTGGGCTTGCTGGATCCGATGATAATTTTATGCTTAACAGGAATCTGTTTTCCACAGCAGCTGCACCATTTTCTGTCTTCACCAACAATACACAAGGGTTTCCATTTTCTCCACATCCTTGTCAACACTTGTTTTCTGGGTTTTGGTTTGCATTTTCTTTTTCATAGTGGCTGTTCTAGTGGGTGCGAGGTGGTAACTTGTTGTGGTTGTGATTTGCATTTCCCAAATGATGAGTGATGTTGAGCATCTTTTCATGGGCTTATTAGCCATTCGTATACCTTCTTTGGAGAAATGTCTGCTGAAATCTTTTGCCCATTTTTGAATCGGGTTTGTGGTTTTTGGGTTTTTTTGGTCATTGTTGAGTTTTAGGAGTGCTCTATGTATTCTACATATTAATCCCGTACCAGGTATATGATTTGCAAATATTTTCCCCATCCCGTGGGTGTTGGGCCATTAATTTGTGCCCAAGTCAAGGAAGCTCCCTTTGGTGGGGAGTCTCTTCATAAATGCACATTGTTGTTAATAACTGTACATTATTTACATGAAAGCCCAGTCAGAATGCTTAGGAATAGGATGTTCTGGTGAACAAGCTCTCAGATTAACTGGAGAGTCAGCAAAATCACTTTTATAGTTTGACAATGTAGCAGACTTCCTATAATGTGCATCCCCGTTTCTTTCATAATGAATATAACCTAATCAATACAAATCGTTGTTTTGTTTTTTTTTTTAAGAGGAAGAGAGAGCGGTGGGAGGGGAGAGAGAGAGAGAATCTCAAGCAGGCTCCACACTCAGGCGGAGCCTGACACGGAACTTGATCCCACTACCCTGGGATCATGACCTGAGCCAAAATTAAGACTTGGACACTCAACCGACTGAGCCACCGAGCACCCCAATAATTTTTTTTATGAAGGAGCTCAATAAACACCAGAGTCCTAACAAAGAGCATCTCCTTATATGCATACAATACATCTACTGAGATTGTTTGGTCCTTGCGATTAGTCTGAGGGGTAGCAATGCAGCAGACTATTGATCTATATTGTTTTATTAAAAAAATTTTTTTTAAATGTTTTTATTTATTTTTGAGACAGAGAGAGACAGAGCAGGAGCAGGGGATAGGGCAGAGAGAGAGGGAGACACAGAATCTGAAGCAGGCTCCAGGCTCTGAGCGGTCAGCACAGAGCCTGACGTGGGGCTCGAACTCACAGAC